CCTTTGTTTTCTTTGCTTCTGGCATCTGCTCGGAAACATAAATATGCTACTGAGTCCTCAAAAATAGCATATTTTGCTCTGGGGTCATGCTAGGCACTGGAACTATGGTAATGAATAAAATTTTCTTGCCCTCTTGAAGTGATATTCTAATGTGGGAATAAACAGGTAGTAAATGTATTATGGGAGAGATAAAGATGTAAAGGACCTGTGGATGTTTGAAGAGTTCCAACATAGGGAACAGCAGATGCAAAGGCCCTGAGACTGGTGCCTTCCTGGTGTATTCAAAACAGCCAACAGGTCAGTGTAGCAGGAACTGAATGAATCCAGGGAAGAGTAGGAGGAAGGGGGGGCGGGGCCTAGCGTGCTGGGCACATGGTTGAGAACTTTTGACTTTTCCTTGTGTGAGTTGAGAGCCACTGCAGACTCTGAGCAGAGCAGACATGATCTCATATGGGTTCTAATAGGCTCCCACATGTCCAGATGTTAGTAGCATTTATTAAGCACTTACTGAGTGCCAGACATTTTTCCATGAGCTTGCAATATGGTCTGATCTCATGTCATTCTCACAGGAATCCTGTAGGGATTATCATTCCATTTCACAGAGGAGAAACTGAGGCTCAGAAATTTTAAGTGACAGAGATGGTCACACAGCAATAATTTGCAGCGCTTGGCTGTGAAGGTGAAGGAAACCACCCCTTCCCCCAAGCTTTTAGAGGAGGATCTCCCGCAGCAAGCACACTCATCATCCGGAGCTGCGTCTGTGTCCCTGTCTGTCTGTTTCTATTTCCACGCGTCCCTGTCTGTCTCCGCGCGCCTCTACCAGTGCGTCCCCCATCTGTGCCCAAGTCGCCGTCTCTCTGCGTCCGGCCCCCGCACACAGGAGCTATTTCGGGTTTAGGAATGAAAGCCCAACAACTCGGAGGAGACGCTTCCTGCGGCCCCCGGTTCGGACCACGCGCCACATGTGGCCGGCGTGGGGAGATCCCTGTCTTCTCCGAGGAATCCCCAGGCCGGGGAAGCCCACGCGGGAGGGCGGCGGTAACGAGGGGAAAGGGGGGCTGGGGAGACCCAGGCCCTCAGGCTCCTGGCCCTCCAGTGGCCAACTCCGGGACTGACGCTCTCTAGAGCCCAATCATGCGTCAGCTGTCGCTCTGGCAACGCACGGACGACGTCACCAACAGGCAGTGCGTCAAACGCCTGCTGACGTCACGCTCTGGGAGAGGCAATTGGTGAGGGGGGGTGGTTTCGGGTCCAGGCTGTAGGGGGAGCCCCTGGGCACTAATGGTGGATGACTTCGGCCTGGCCCTGCAGAAGGTGCTGGCACAGGCCAAAAGGTACCCGCAGCTTCCCAGGCACACCAGGTTGGCAGGATGAAGAGGAGTCGCAGTGTCCTGTCTGTGGCCGGTACTGGGGACGAGGTGCGAGGGGCGGGGCCCGGGCTGAGGACCAGGCTTGAGCCACTGGGCAATGATCGCCCTCTAGTGACCACAGCTGTTCACTGAGCGTGGCTGCTCTTCGAAGCCATGAGGAGTCTGGGCTCTCCCCTCCCCCCCAGGTCTGTTTACTTTCTTGACTTTTTGCCTTGCTACCTGATCCAGAGGCAGAAGACAAAGCCTTCCAAAGGGTTTTGCTAGTGGATTAAGGATTTGGAGTTAGAGGGGTACTGGGGTGAGATTTTGATTCTCATATATGAGGAATATGGGGGGGGGCATACCACTGAGAGAGAGTACTATACCTGAACTCTTGTGCATTGCTGGTGGATGGATGCTCTGTATCTGCAAACTGCACCCAGCTGGTGCACCCAGATCCAGAAGCGGCTTCTTGGAAATGTAGGGAGAAAGACATTCGAAAAGATGTATTTCAGGGGCTTCATAATGGACAATGTACAGGCATGAAGGCCCATAGTCCCAGGACTGGGACACCCAAAGGGAGCCCACAAAAGTTATGGCTGAGAAGGGACACTCTTCATATGTAACAGGTGGGAAGGCACTTTCTGTGGGAGGAATCAGTGGGTGGCTTAGATGTGAGGGGAACACTATCTCAGGTGGCTAGGGAGAGGTGTTACTGGAGGGGAAGGACTCAGAACTGTTTGCCTAGCCAGGCCACCCTGTTGCATCCCAGCCCTGTCCTTCCTCAGAGGCCACAGGAGAAACTGGAGCCCAGCAGTACCAATATGCTGGGGGCTGAACTCCATCGCCCTCAACGTCGCCTCTCCACCGGCCCTGGGCTGGGCTGGGCTGACCCTGAACCCTCCGGTCCTGGGGTCCCTCTGCCAGCACGGCCCACCACGCTGCCACTGCTGATCCCTCCTCGGATTTCCATCACCAGAGCCCACAGGTAGGCAGTAGGGAGAACAAGGCTGGGAGGTGGGAAAGAGGAACAGGGCCAGCTGGACCGGGTCCAACCACCAGCCAGTTCCGTGTTCCAGGCTGCAAGTGTTTTGCAAAACCTGCTGAAATTTCTTTTTGAGTCTGGATGGCCAGACTATGTGACATCCCTCCCCCAAGACATCCCCCTTGCAGCTTCTAGGAACCCCTTCTTCATTTTGCAAATACCTGAGTCAGTAAGAGGCAGAGTTGTGAAAAGGGGTTACAGCCCTCCAGCCCCCAACCACAGCACTACAATCAGAGTTAGAACACCCTAGGCCTCTGATGTGTCTGCTATATACATCTTTCTTCTGGGAGGATTCCACTTCTCCCAAACCTTAAAGGGGATGGTGAACTCCTGGAGGGGCACCTTTCTTGCTCCTGGGAGGAAGTGAGAGTTATCAATCAGCCCCAGCTTCACAATGGATGTCCTTGGTTTTCCTCATCTGGGATATTCCGAGGGCACTGTAACCTTCATCGTGGCTCAGTGATGAGTTCAAAGGCCAGACAGCTCAGCTGGTCCTGGATGCAGGACTGTACCTGCCCCTATTTCCTTCCCCTTTATAGTCACAGTCTCCTAACCACCTTATCTACTCATTTGGAGGGCTCCAGGGCCTCTTTTTGGGTGTTGGTTCAATGGTTCATTTCCAGATCAGGGATAGGAGCTGACTGTCATTTCTCCATTTGGTGATCTAATATTAACTCCCCCCCCCAAAAAAAAATTCTTCTGACCTCTCCCAGGTTCAGGCTCAGCGTAATCCATCCCAGCCTCAGGCCATAGCTCCAATTACCAGCCTTGGCTCACTGCCTGTCCTTCTGCAACCCCAACTGTGGTCTGATTCCCCCATCTTGTATTACCACTCCCCATCTTGTATTACCCATCTAGAGTGCTTTGACAAATGCTGTGCCCCACTCCCAGAATTTGGCCTAGCCCAATCCTCAGGTGACTTGTGGAGACTGACCCTTACCAGTTTCCTAGGAGCAGGTTAGTGTATACTTGTGGGGAGCCCCCCCCCCCAGCAAAAGTAAGGGACACAGATCTGGTCTCTGGTATACCATGGGGCTGCAGACAGGGTGTGGGTTCTTGCTCTGCATTTTTCCAACTCGTGTCCCCTCAGGCAGGGAGAAAAGGAACTGGGGGTTGGAGTTGGGCATTATATGTATATTATACATGGAGAACAATGCAGTTGGGTGGAGTGGTGGCGGACAGCGCAACCAGGCCAGGGTAACTTGAGAAGGGGATGCTTGGGGTGGGGGTGGGGGTGGGAGGTCTGGTTCTGGGGATGCGGCCTCGAGCCGTTGGAGTCCTATACGTTTCGGCCTCGGGAGCTGAGGCACCCAGCTCCTTGCACTCCCCCTGCCCAGCCATCACTGGGGTTTGGCCCGGGCGGGAAAGGGGATGGGGGGTAGGGCGGAGGAGGAGGCGCGCGAATCCCGCTAGCTCTCGGCTCCTTAGCTCGGCGCGGCGCTGGGGGAGGCGGGAGTGTGAGTCACGGCGACTCCCGATTTAGGTGCCGGAAGGGGGGCTTTGCTGGAGGGGACCGCGGGGAGGAGGCGCGACTGTTTACTCTCCTGAAAAGGGCAAGGAGGTGCGTTCTAAGGTTGCTGGGACCGGCAAATGCGCTGTAGGAGATGGCAGCGATAACTAAAGCGTGAGCAGGTAGCCCGGTTATCTAGCATGGGGTGCCCTCCTGGAGTCACGAGGGAACCAAAGGGACACACCCCAGAAACACACCATAGCGGCCCCAGGGCCACCACATCACATTAACACACGGACTCCCTCAGAACCCTAGGCAGAATCGCGTCCACCGCTCTGCAAGTAGTTACCAATATACACCCAAAGGTGCAGAAACGCACACACAGTCCCTGTTCCACCCGGACAGACCCCATAAAGGCGCGCACCCTCTAAACAGGCAGCACACGTGCGTACACATTCTTCACAGACACGCACATACAGAAAGCGAAATTCAGAGAAACGGGCAGTTCGCAGCCAAAAACCACGTGCGCGCACACACTTCCAAACCGACACTGAAAACACAGACAAGCCTGGGAAGGGGCCACGTGCACCCACATTCCGCCCAGGACACACACAACCACCATCCTGGGACCCACCAATGGGCGATCACCCGTATACCGCCTCTGCCCTCCACGGGAACCGCCTCGGTGGTACCGAGACCACTCCCCAAAGCTTCTCAGGGCCAGGGGTAGCGGCGAGGACACGCCGGCACTGGGCTCCGCCCCGCCTTGATGGACAGACTGACTGACATACCGGCAACCAGTCGGGTGTCTTCTCCGCGATCGGGTTAACCGCTTAACTCCTTCAGGCCCGTGCACTCTGCAACTAGGCTGGGCGCTCAGGAAAGAGTGGAGTTCCGGCGCCCCCTCCCCGCCGGGAGCGGGGCTCGGCGTGGGCGGGGAGGGCCCCCCCTCCTTGGGTGGCTGCCCCCCACTGGCCGGG